GGAGCCTCAGCACTGTATTTAAATCTCAAATAAGTGAGTTTATCTGGAAACTATAACGCTGAGTTCACATGGATTCAAGCAGACGGTAGATAGCAAACCGGATATCGTGTTGGTGGATGAGAGCAGGAGAGTAAGATTAGGTGAGAACAGCAGACAGGGCAATCTGGACAACGAGATTCGGTTACAGAAAACAATACACACTAAATAATTTGATATAATCTATTTTATTCAATTTTTTTGTAAACGATAAGACATCACCATAGCCACAGCATCATGCATGTTTCATTTTGCCACCCTGCCATTCTGTCTGATGGTTTCTTTGTTTTTCCCATGCTGTCCGGAAGATAGTGCCTGAATCCACATGAATGCAGCATGAATTTGTCTGTATTCATAGTTTAACAGTAGAGCATTTATTCGAGGAAATTGTTTGTGTGTGTTTTTACTTTCAGGTAATGACAGTATTCACTTTCCAAGTAATTTGTACTAATTTTCTTATTCGCTGTATGCCTGACATGTTTTCAGTACACACCAAGGCAGGAGCATAACTTTGTCTTACATCATGCACACAGAGTGGCGTTGGAACATAATTGCCTTACATCACCCAAGTTCTTAGAGACCAGAAATAAGCTCAGATGAAACATAAAGCGACTCTCCCTCCCCATCCTCACCCTAAAAGCTACTAAGACGTGCTCCACTGGCAAAGACACTCCCGTTTCCACATCTCTGAAACACTTCAGGGTCATCATACCTATCACTAAACCCATGTTTGACTCACCTGAAACGCCCCAAAACTGCACGCAGCCAGTCAATCAAATAGATAAGACCATGATGCCCTAATTCCTCACCTCTGACCCCTAAAGTCAATAATGACTGTTACATTCCAGCTTGAATCATGTGGTTGTGCAGTGAAAAGCTCCAAATGATTTACTTGTCATGAAAAAAATGTTCTGTGGTTAGACACAATGAACCAGCTTGTTCAACAGTGTCACAGAGATGTACCACTAAAATCACTCACAGCTAAGTGCCAGTTGTTTTTTGTGGTTAGTTTATTTATATAGCACCTTCTACAGCTGATGTCACAAAATCAAAAATCAAACAGACGTGGAAAGACATCATGCTTCCTAAGAGCATTAAAGCATTAAACTCAACTGCCAGTGGCCACCACAGGCAAGTTGTCACTGCATGAACGTCATATTCTAGTCCCATCAGTCCTATGCCCCAGTGGCTGTCCTCTGCCTCTGTCAGTCTGGCCAATACTGTAACAGCACAAATGCCTGCCAAATGACACCTGACCCTCTCCGTCTGTAACAGTAAACCTCTAAAATTCTCAACCATAAACGTACAAACCTCTGAAATTCTGTAGTTCTATCATAAACAGTTGCTATTTGGATCCAAACACTTGGCTGTGTGCTAACTACTGACAATGGTAATACAATGACACATTAATGGTTTTACTTGTAAGTTTGTTCATTTAAAATGAGAAGATGAACACATTATGTGTTCCAGAACTACACACCAGCAATTTGTCCACTGACACAACAGACCCAAATATCCGAAACAAATTTGACTGTCTAGTGGGAGTCCATTTGACCAATTAGTCTTACTATAATAAACACACAGAGCAACCTGCTGGCTATCTATCCTGTCTCAAACAAGGTAATTATGGCCATTATGCTCAAAACATTGGTTAACTCATTTATTTCAATTCAGTTGCACAGCTTTCATAATTCATATATCCTATCATTCATCACTTTAAGTATTATCAGCTCTGGTTAGGGGCCATGCAACATCTCTTGGGCATACCCTAACAGTTCTCTATTTCTCCATCCCACTGATCCCACCTGCTACACTTTCAGTTTGAAACAAAAGTAGATTAAATATCTGACAATCCAGAGGAGATCGCAACAGAAAGATAATAAAATTGTGTTTTTTCTTACCCCTTGAGACTTCTTTTGCAGCGACTTCGGTTGTCAGCCTGAATCCACAGGGAGTCAGCCTAAACGAAGTACCAGGCCAACAAAACCACCACCCGTCTCCATTCAACCCCCACCTGCCTCTCCCTAAGGCCTTATAAGGAGAGAGCTACCTATATATAACCAGTATCCTTCAAGACTCAGGGCCACTAGAAGCAGTTTGACTAACAGAGTTTACCCATTACAGTTTTTAGTAAAGTCCATGTTAGCCCTTGCTGGTTTCTGTTATCTCAACAACTGATGCTAAACAACTGCTATTCAAGTATACTAGCTGATTCAAACAATGCAAAGAATTGGGCCATGGTGATGTTATGGTGGGCCATGCAACACATTTATAAGTAGCATTTTAGCTCTACAGAAAAGGCAACAATATGGTTAAAGAACCACACTGCAACAAGGCTTCTTACTATAATTCCGTCCATATCACAATGGCATAGTTGCTGAATAATAAAACATATTTCAGACAGCATTTTAGACTCAAACATTTTACACCAATTTTAAAAAATGGAAATGGATATCTACAGTATATGACTGTTTCACATTCTAAAATCTAAAATCCTTGAGACAGTACTGAAGTCCCTCACTAAGATCTTTCTCCATATGCACTCAAAAACGTCTTGAGACACTGTGTCGCATGCTGAACTTTGGCCAGGGCCTATTTATAAAACTAGCTACAGTTACAGCTAGACTATTCCTGACACAGTGGAGAAGCTGTGAAACACATTTCACATCTGAGGCGAAATCATCTGATGGGACAAAATGGAGTTACATTTTGAAAAAATTAACGAGAGAGAGAGAGCGGCAGGGTGGGGGCTTGGGGAGGAGTGCGTGATGTGTGAGTGACGACAGACAGATAGAAGAGAGTGAAAGAAAGCAATGAAGAAGACACAAGATAAGAAGGCAACAAAACAAAGCATATGTGGCGGATAATTTCTTTGATGCTGAAATCTGTAACTCTCCAATAAAAGCACCGTCACAGACTCCATAAAATCAATAAAGTCTGTAAATGTGTGAATTGGGATCGATACTAGCAAAGGAAGGTGAAGCGTAGTTTGGAAACAGAGCAGGTCACTGTTCTGCAGAAGTTTTATAGTAGTATTTTGGTAATTCACTTTTTTCTGTTACATTAAAGATCAACAGTACCTTCCACAGAATTGAAATGGATAGAAAGATAGCTGAGGCTGACCTCTCCAAGGAACAAAATTCAGGCATCCTTTTTGGATTTACAAGGTCGCCATTCCTATCACTCACACAATAACATTTGAAAATGTAACATTTTGAGTGAGATTAACATCCAAATAAATACAAAGTATAAAATGCATGGGGTTAGCATTTTGTTGAGAGGTTAAACTGTGAGAGGTAAGAGTCACCAGGACTCAATAGGACCCTGCAATGAAAATTATATGGAGTTTTAAAGTATATTATGCCTTAATAAATACTTAATGTCTTACATGGGCAGATATCCATTGTACTTTCTTGCACCATTGTAATCTTTGTTCTCCCTTTTTGTCTACGTCAAAAACAGAACTGACGTCTGTCTGTGGTCAAAAAGAGCCCTCTGTTGGTCATATGGTTGTACACTCTGTAACCAAAGCCTAGTGATAACTTTAGTACATTATGTTGCTGACATTTGGTAAGCCAGGGCTTCGGGGTAATGAGGTGGTGTTAAAATGGACCAAGGAAGAAATGGCATTGAAAAAAATGTTATCTTTAAAATATATGTACAGTTTTGTTGTATTTGTCAATCTCTGCTTCATCAAATTGGATGTTTTGTTTTACTATTACAGGCAACATCTTTGACACTGCAATCCCTGGAGACGTAACAATATGAATTATTCTCTTATTTTAGTCTCCTGACATACTTTATTTTTCACATTGGCTTATAATGAGTCATTATTTAAAAGAAACCCCTGGGCACTCATACATTTAATAAGTCAGGCCTGTCCGATTAACTTTAAATTATGAACCATTAGTGCAGAGCATTTTACCAAGTGGAATGTCTGTCAGAATATTTCAGCTGGTAGGCACACAATACCTTTAGTTGACTTTCTCTCTATTAACACTATTTAGAATATACACAAAAAAACTAGTACTATATAGTAAACTGTACTAACCAAGCACACACAAGTATTTTTGGATCTTGGATTTACACTGACCAAGATATGAAGCATTTTGACAGAAAATGATATCAACGGTCCCTTTCCACTATCTGCAGAGTGTGTTCATTCTGGGCTTGGTAAACCTGTCACATGATTTCTGTTAAGCTTAGAGGCATAGAGGATGGCAGCTTGCCAAAACCGGCAGCAGCTGTAAAGACATTAATGCACAGAGTAACAATGGAGATATACAGTAACTCCCCCAGCATGTCCAACTGTTCATGGCCCTTGTATCAGGACTCTATATTAAACACACAAGAAATATATACATTTAGAATAATGAATAATAATTTTTTTTGTCGCTTGGTTCATATAATGTTAATACAACTGACTACAGATTTATTTTTGGTGAACGCATTGTCAAATTGACATTTTCTGTTGACACACTTTATGGACAGTTTTCCAAATTTCACAAATGCTGTTCTATATAAAAAACTGATATTCTTTCCAAAATCACTAAAATGGTGTTCATCAGAATGCAGTCTTGTTAGAGAACTGACATTTCAGTCAAATCTGAATTAGTTACAAAAATCAATACTACTTATGAGATCATGGTGTTATAATACATTCTTAATCATGATAATTATGCCACCTGTAACATGAAACAAAATGTGACAGGAACTGTCCTAAAATCACCATTAAAACTTAGGCTACTAATATTTTATTTTACATTGTAGTGCACGATGCCTTGAAAAGGAAGATTGTACATTATTACACCAGCCAACACGGTTTTCAAAGCCTCACTACAAACAAGGCTCCAGGAGAAGAAGGAGCAGCCGGCTGGGTCCGGACAACGAATCAAGCAACCCATTCTACCACGTGATGACGCAAGACGTCTACGGCGCTCCCGATTGGCTGAGCACTGGCAGGTAGTGAGGCGGCTTCAGTACGTAATGGACATAAACAACAGACTGTGCCCTGGGACTGTAGGGCTTGTATGTAGCTAATGCACTCACTAACCTAGTTAAGTTAAATCAAACACTGCGCGGCGTTCCCGGGTAACCATCCACAGACATCTGTTGCAACATATCCGATACAAGGTGAGACCGATTTAAACACTGCATATATGTTTAAAGTGAAGTTGAGTTTATCGCTGTGTCATTTGTGGTTACATGGCGATAATAATTGCTGACTGAAGATTCAGTAGGTTAGCAGGCTAATGTTTAAGATAGTGCTTGGAGCTTTTTTTTAAAGCCGCCTTTCACAGGATTAGGAGCGTACCTTTTAGATTAAGTTGTTAACTACAGAAAGATGTTAACTTCTTCTTCCTGACCACTGACTGCAAAGTTGCCCGTCGCTATCTTTTTGTTCACTTAAGTTACAGTTCAGTGTTTCTGAGTTGTTTAAAATTTAAGCATACTTGTACTTGTTGTACTTCACAGTGCGAGAGTGTTAACGTGTTATTGTCGGACACCATTTTTCCCCTCCTGCTGTTGAACTGTTAGCTGCACTGCTGTGCCAGGAAGCGACAGTTAACAGTCTCTGGTAGTGTTTTCTTGTTGTATTTACACAAACAGGGGAGCAGAAAGATCTATCCTCTCCTAATCCTAATCACTGTCAGAATCAGAATTGGGTTGTTTCTTCTATCCTTATTTCTCATCATGAATTTCCCCAGTGTTGGATCAATAAAGTCTGTCTTATCTGAACTTATTTGATCAATCAATCTTCCATGATTGATGGGATTTAGGGAACTGGCCCAGGTAATGTGTGTACAGGAAGGGAATTTCAAATATATTTCATGTCCTTGTTTGTTTATTTGGGGTAGAGACTGATGGGTTGCAGTTTATTTTGATTGCCTAATTAAGTTGTCATACGAGGTTTTTATCAGCACCCACTTCCCCCAGTGGAAGCCACAACCTGTTTTTCTCCTTTAGTCAGTCAATGTGCTCTTGTGCCTTTTTTCTTCTTGCCTAGTGAACCAGGCCAACTTGTAACATTTTTGTCATACATGGTTTCATGAAAAATCCACTATTATAGAAATTTACTTTTTCTCCACAGTCACTCTGAATGCTGTTTTAATTTTGTTGTTACGTGGTTGTTTCAGTAACATGGGCTTATTCTGAAGTTCAGTACTGAGTTATGGATAAAACTGGCCGTTAACTGACAAAGCTGTTATCTTCTTTTAGGTCAAACATGAGGCTCTGCACTCCTCTCCTGCTCTGCCTGGCAGTAGCACTGTCCTCTGCTTTTGTGATTTCACCTCCGTAAGTACAGCAAAATGATATACTGTACATATAGATGAATGTAAATTCTCTCCTTCTCCATTTGTATGTATAACACTGAGTCTTTGTGTTTAATGTATGTGTTTCAGGCACATGTGGACCAAACTGATCCTGACCCACCACTGGCCAACCACCTTCTGTAGTGTAAGTATCTTCCTGCATTGTTTATTTGTTTTTCTTTAAGATTTTTTCACAGAATCCAATCTGACATATCACAGTTGAAGAAGCCTAGGTGTAAGTGATCAAATTGATGATTGCCATTTAGCTGCTTGAACGGAACAGCCCCATTGTTTATGTGATTAGTAAAACCTGAGCCTTTCCTACTATGACAAGTCAAAATATCTGCTGGACATGTGTAATTAAATGTTTGAGAAATCTTCTTAACTCTAGATTATTAATCCCTTTTACCCCAACCATGTGTTACTCACTGAAGTCACTGAATCAATATAAGACGTCTATGACAAAGAAGTTTCTGGTTTACTACACTGTCAGCAGCCTGTGGTTGACGAGTCAGGTTTCAGTTTTCACAGTCGACTCAAGAGCCTCATGAGCTTCGGTGTGTTTTCATGAGCAGCATTCTTACTCCAGCATTAACCTTATATGTGTCGACCTAGCCGAAATATTATATGTATGTCTGGTTGGATCTATTCCTGCACTAGCAAAAATTAATAAAAACCTTGCAACAAAGCAGGTTAGCCATGGATTACAATGGGTTCTGAGAGTCAAAACACATTTTAAAAAAAAGAAACATAATAACTTACTGTTTCATGGATACTCTGTATAGGTTTAGATAAGCCTAGTTTAGTGACAAATTGAGGGTAGCTTTAGATAATAATAATCTAATGATTTTGACAAATTAATAACTTGATGTCCCATCCTGAGACAATGTTGCCCTCTTATATTGCCCATGTATGTAACCTATATACTATATCAGTGAGTTCTCATTTAATCCTTATATGTCACGTGATGTCAATGAGTCATGAGACTGGCTGTGTGTCAACAGTCTGGTTTGATTAGACAGCATTCTGTTAAACACGTGAGCATGTGATTTCAACTCGCGTCACGACACAAAACACACATCCCATTTTTTTTATACTCTTACTAAACTTATCACGCTTTTTATGTTTGCTGAGAACCTTTCTGATTGAATCGTTTGGCTGTATGTCAGAAGAAGGTTTGAATTGGCAACAATGTGGTCATAAGTTTCTGTTTGGGGTAGAAATTTGTTTCTGTTCATTTCCTCTAGGTGTCATTTTGCTTTATGATTTAAACTTGGATATACCAAGACAAAGATGTAGATCCTAAACGGCAAAGCCACAAAATTTCTGCAGTTCCCTTATTTAGTCAACAGTGAAAAAGAGGAAGAACTTTTTTTTTATTTTAGGTGGTTGGCCAATATAAATGCAATATGCATGACCTACTGTACCCTTAAAGTGATAGTTCATGTCATCAATCACGCAAGTCTTTTATCAAGCAACACCGTCCTTAAATACTACAACATTAATAATGCCTTCAGGATTTTTTGGTCATACAAATTAAAGAATACATATTTGATATTTAATAGACAAAACAATTTATTGGCTCATTTAACGATAATCAAAAACGATCAATACTAGAAATAAGTAGCTTTTTGTTCATTTCAATCTTTTTCTAATCTTGTGTCTTCATTAAGGTTGTAACTATATTTCAGCTCAATGAGACACTCCCAGCTGGATACTAGTGAATATTAATTACTAAACAGAATAAAGTTTTAGGTTTATGTGTTCAGATGGAATAACGGTACTATTTTTAAAATAAATTTCAGATGGAACACTGTCATCCCAACATTAGCTACTGGACACTACATGGACTCTGGTATGTGTGTGTGGTTTTTAATCAGATAAGAGTGTGTTTTTCATGGAAAATATTACTGAACAACTACCTGTTACCTGTAATACCCCCCCCCTCTCTCTCTCTCTCTCTCTCTCTCTCTCTCTCTCTCTCTCTCTCTCTCCGTGTGTGTGTGTGTGTGTGTGTGTGTGTGTGTGTGTGTGTGTGTGTGTGTGTGTGTGTGTGTGTGTGTGTGAGAGACGAAGAAAATAAGACCTAATATCGTGAATCTTTCTGCATTTCAGGCCAGATAAAGGGATTGACTGCAATTCATCGTGGCATTTCAACTCTTCTCAAATAGAGGTACAATATTGTACCTAAGTGTGACAGTAGAATTGGCATTACTGACTTTTGGAAGGCAAATTAATAATTTTCTCCTCTTCTCCAGTTGGTATACTGACAGATAAAACAAATCTGTTCTTGGTTGTGTGTTTTCAGGATTTGCTTCCAGACATGAAGAAGAGTTGGCCTGACTTGCTTAACCCCTTGTCTGCTGGATTCTGGTATTGTGATAATAACTACTGTATTGTATAATAGTGATCAGTGTCTCCTATTAATTACCTAGACTGTGGCGGCCCACCACAATTTAACTTGTCCCACCAGTTTCATAATGGAAATAAAATATTTTTACACTTCTCTCTAACAATCCGTTTTGCACTATTGCCTCAGAAAAGCATCTCTCATTCCCAGTCACAGCCAGAGTATCCACAATCGATTAACTAGTAGGTTTCCCATCACTCTACCCTTCATGTACTAGGGACAATCGCTCTGCATAGAAACAGAGAGAGAGATGTTGTCTGATGTGGACATGGTGAATATTGTACAAGCACAAACTAGGTAAATCAAGAGTGAACAGCAGTGAACACACCAGTTGGTGCCGATGTCATTCGGTACCACGTTGATTTCGACTGTTTCAATCAAAACCAACATGGTTAACAACAAGCCTTACCCACACGACTCACCTGCTGTTGTGAAAACAGATTTGTGAGTGAAAAAAAAATCCAAAACATAAGTTACAAAAGATACTGCTGATAGAAGTCACCAGAGACACATACAGGGAGAAGAGAAACAGAAAGAGGCGGACCGGGGCAAGACGATGCATGTTAGAAACCAGTTGGTGTGTGTGAATGAGTACTGAAGGGAAAAGAAAAGTGACCAGATTGGAGTATTTTGTGAGTTAAGTAAATAATAAAATATACTAGAAAAAAGGTTAACGTAGCCCACCGCACACCACGAGATATTGTGTGTCTACTGCCCATGGTGACCTCCCTATTTTTGATCAGTGAAGATGTTCTATGATCTTGAAGTCAGTCATCATTAGCCAAATTGTGATGATAATTATCATGTGTGTTCCTGGTGTAAATGATAATAGTAAAACCTATCGCTATTTCTTTGTTTATCCGTCTGTTTCAACAGGAAGTATGAGTGGCACAAACATGGTACATGTGCAGCCAAAGCAGATTCTCTGAATAGTCAGCATAAATACTTCGGCAAGGCACTGGAACTGTACCATAAAGTGGATTTGGACAGGTACAGCACATTTTCACACATTTACACCCTCACACATGCACATACGCACACATCTATCCTCAGAACCAATGTCTAATGTCTCATCTCTTAGTACTGTCTTGGTGTTCCTGCTAATGCTGTTCGCATTTGCTGTCCACATTTTGGTTTCAGAAACTGACTACTGTTATATACTTATTTTCGGTCACTCTGAATAAATGCATTAGCACCTCAAAGCCTTAAATACAAATGTGTGTTTCTGTAATTGTAGCATCCTGAAGAAGTTTGACATCATCCCTTCAGAAAAATACTACACAGTAAGTCAATTTATATTTTAACATCTAATTAAGGTATTTTAAAATCCCAAATATTAGTAATATGTAAGGAATAATCTGTGGCATGAGTTATTGCCTCTAACGTTTGCTATTCCCATGTGTAGTTTTCACAAATTGAAGGCGTCATTGAGAACTTCTACGGCATCAAACCTAAGATTCAGTGTGTCCATCCGTCAATGGTATGTAAAACCTAATTTCAGTCAAATAAAGAAGTCCTAATTTGCTATTTGTGTTTTGCATGCTACTTTTCAAGAATGTTTAAGTGCTGTATTTAAGCTTAAGTTTCAAACGTTGGCAGACATATCGTTAAATGATATGCTTTTATGTTTGACAGAATGCTGACTTCCAGATTTTGGGGCAGATTGAGATCTGTTTCAACCCTGACTTCACTCTCCTGGACTGTGAGACACGGTTTACCATGGAAACAATGTCTAAGAGAGATTGGGACAAGCTGATGGCTGTTGACAAAGCATCTGGGTTCAGTGTGTGTGACCATGATTTGCCCGTTTACTACCCTCCACCTAAAACACATACAAACTGAAATGGAAAACACACTAAAACCCTACTTTTACATTTTTACTTTTGCACTCAAAGACTGAATCTTTGTTTACCAGTCAACTGTACTGTAATTTAGCATGCACATACACACACTGACTAGCTATGTTGTTTTTTTTTCTTCACAATGAACATAATACCTTTTTTTTTTTTAATGGTAATTTTTGTCAAATATGGCCTATTCATATCAGTGCAATCTGAAAACCTTTTTTAACTGCATCAAAATTCTGGCTGTGACAGGTACTTGAAAAAAATCACCTTTAAGTGCATTATTCTTTTTATATCCTATAAAAGCCATGGCGCGCGCGCACACACACACACACACACACACACACACACACACACACACACACACACACACACACACACACACACACACACACAGACTCCACTACTACTTAGTGCTTTAATGGAATTATGTCCCTTCCTGACCTTTACTAGTAGATGAATCCGATCCACGGCTCAACAGGAGGCATTATGGTGAGTTCAGGTCAGGCAGGCGGGCAGTTTAATGTGCCTGAATCTTATCGGCACATGAGTGGAGCCTTTTGTCAAATTTGCAGGAGTCTTCATGTTGATTGTGAAGATGTCGAACCCTAGTGTGTACGATCTGATTCCGCTAACCATATTTTACACCACATTTTTCCACACATCTTTTTTTTTTTTTTTGATTGTATTTTTTAGTTATCAAATAAGTGCTTTTTCCACTTTTAATGTGATGTGATGTGAAATGATAAGTGATTAATCCAGCATATCAAGACAGCAGCCATTCTTTATGATTAAATCACTACAGAAATAATATGGGCTAACATTCATATGTTTGAGGGCTTTTGGGGCAAGGGCCATCATTTTAGCCCAATACTGCTGCTTTGCAACAACAACATCATCATTTTTCAGATGTTATAAACTAGTGGTAGTAATGATTAGCTACCTTCTGATGTCTTGTGAAGTAATAAGCCACTATTCAGTGTTGTGCTGCACGCCTGGTTAGGTCTGTGTCTATGTTGCTGAAAGAGGGCCATTTATCACATTTGTGAGCTTAAAGCCAATAGTTTATACATTATGTATAGACCAGAAAGTAAATATAGTGTATGGTGTATAAAGTCAATGGTATAGTCTTTTCTGCATATTTAATTTTTAGTAGATAGGAGTTAAAATACTCAAGACACACCCCAAACACAATACTTTACACAAGATGTCAACCTCATTATGCATAATCTTTGCCTGTCCAGATAAAATGCTTGTTTCTCAAGGATATAGCAAATATTTTGGTAAACACTATTTTACCCCCACTGATTTCTACAAGGATTTGTTTTTATTGATGCTGTTTGGAATTTTTGCCATAGATAAATCGATTCGGTGTAAGCTGAAGTGTTAGTGATCACTGTAATTACAGCTACAGTGGACAAATGCTGTGGTATGAAATGGTATGGTATGTAATTTTTTAAAATGTCAATAAAACATTCAATGTGTAGTCGATCTGCCTCCTAGTCATCTGTGATTATGTAACATCCAATATTGATAGTGTATCTATTGGCATTTTTGAATGATGTAATTGAAGGTGAACCTGTAAATAGAGCTTGGTGATTAAATATAGAAGATGATCTGCCTGAAATTGTGGTGTCAGGATGGTTTTAAAGGGATCTTCTGTCTGTATGTCTGTCATATAGTATATAATACTGTATGGTAATAGTACTATATTTCAGCCTGTCTGTCTATCTGTCCAGATCTACTTTGTGTGTATGAATATTAATGTCGTGATCTCCTTACGCAGACATAATCCTACCGGGACAAAGACACCAGTCCATAATCCCGAATCTCCTCCCACAACACCACTGCAGATTGACTAAACACGTCTGATTACATATTCAATAGTGCTAAAATGCCCTGAAACTACGTACCAGCTATTCTAAATGTGGTCCAAATCCGGTCAAACATGAGAAAACAGTTTCTATGAGCTCTGGTTTTAGTGACGTTCCAAGTTTGGGGATCATAGTTTGGGCGTTTGAGGTGAATAAGCCTGGCTGAAGAACTTGAAACCTTATTTTAGAAAAATTACAGCTCTGGTCAGTTACGGACACATGACCCAGGTAGAGCAGCAGTCCTGATTTACCCTCTGCTTCCATCTAATAAAGCCCCCCCCCCTCTCAGTCTCTATTTCCATCTCTCTCCCTCTCCCTCCCTCTCTCTCTCCCTCTCTCTCTCCTTATGTAACACTGCAGTTCTGCAAAGCTGCTGATGTGACAGATCCAAGTACCTACACACACACACTCACACACATGCCCTGTGATCAACCAGATCACACTGTACTCTATGTGATTGCTGCCCTTGCTTCTGTCATCATTATTGATTGTAACATTGATTGCTGTCCTCAAACTTAATTGAATTCTGATGCAATGTCACTGAATCTGAGCCACACACATTTCCACAGGGCTCTACTAACTTTACTGCTCAGGCTCTACTTTATTTTGCCATAATTTTGTATTCCATCTGTATCCATGTGTGTTATTGGGATGTCATGCGGGAGCAAAACAGAGGGGACAGAGGAAGAGGGAGACAGAGAGAGGTAGCTGGGTTACACCATGTGACCTCGCCAGCTGTTGCTGTATGCTGGTGGGAGAAAGAGAGAGGGAGGTGAGGGGCAGGAACAGGGGAGAATAAGGGAGGGAGGGGTTGGGAGCTCGCTGGTACACAATGTGACTGGTGACAATCCCTTGTTCTGCAGAGGGAGAGGGAGGCAGCAGGGGATGAACACACACACACACATGCTCCAGCAGAGATGTGAAGAGGGAGCTCACACACACCTCTCCTGATTCAGCGGAACAGATTTATTCGTCACCTCTCCTCGCAGCCTCACGCAGTGAGCCTGCTGCAAAACAAGACAATCCCAAACCCGGTGGCACCTGCCCCGTCCGTCAACCCGCCTGTCTGTCTGCGTAGATTAACGGCTCTGTTACAACTCTGACTGCGTGCTTACTGGCGTTCACTGCAGCTGAGAGACGGGAGTGGGGAAACGACTGGCTGAAACCCCACCAGAGAGACGGGCAGCAAATGTGAATGATGGGAAAACTAAAAAGCAACGACTGCATTGAGGATGGGCCAATGGATAAACTGCGGGACAAATAGATAACCAACCAAAAATAAAGCTCTGATTCTGCGTCTCTACCTTAGGACCTCCTGCAGGGAGATGTTCATCATTATGGGATAGATGCACAGGTCTGCCCGTTGCCATGGATACAAGCACGCGAAAATTCACAGTGCGGAGATGGTTTTCTATCTACCTGAAGAACAAGGCAGCGAGGAACAAGAACACCACTGGCTTCTGTCAACTAGAGGTGAGTCAAGCTGTTTAGACACACACCCAGGCACAGTACAAACTTACATCAACTAAAGATTGGTACATGTGTGTGAATCTGTATGTGCTGGAAGGGGAGGGGCGGAAGGGGGGGGACTGCATCACAGTTGCACAATGTGTGTTTGTATGAATATGAAGGCCAAAACAAAACAAAAACAGCCGTCTCACATCAACAGTAAATGAGCATGTGTGTGAGGAGTCACATGGGAATGGGTGTGGGAAGAATGCGTGTTATTTGGTTTGTTGTGGAGGGCTCCAGGAGTCATTGCAGCATCATTACAGCTGTTGCTCTGTCTGTCTGTCAGGAATCCAGAAAACAGAGGGACAGAGAGACACTGTGTTTTGACTTAAGAGAGTGAGAGAGAGAGAGAGAGAGAGAGAGAGAGAGAGAGAGACAGGCTACGTGGAAATACAATCTGACAGACAGAAACGCTAACAGGCAAACAAGCAGCCAGGCAGGCAGGTTGATAGATAAATGGATACAGACAGATTGATTCAGTGGACAGCCGCAGCAGTGGTGGTCTATTTATAGCCCAAACAAATCAGCGGGGAAGAGAGAGAGAGGCGGTGTGCTGTTTGCAGTACCTGTATCTACCTGTATGTTTGAGATATAAATAGAAATGAAGTCCCCCTCCCCAGCCTTTGGCCTTTGTTGTTGTGATTGCTGATGAATTAGCTATCTACCTGTTTGTGTGACTGTTAGTCTTTCCGCTTGTGTATGTTTACCTGTTTGGCTGACTCTCCATAGCATGACGCCTTGAATGCTCCATGTGGGGAATTCCTGCTTTTTACATCCCTCCCCTTCATGGGAGGGTCAGAGTTCACGATCCCGCAACCTTGAACCTGTTCCTCCTGCTGCTCTGTTTTAAAAATAAAACAGCAATGAATCACAGAAGGCAAACTGCTCCCGCACTACTCTCTATAGGCTGAAACTTTGCAGCTTGTTACACTTCAAGCCACACCCCAATCAGTCAAAACTATATTGTAATAGCTTTGGTTTTTCAGTTATAGTCTGCAAAGAGCTTGTGTTAGACTCAATGTGCAAACCCTAACTCACACACTCAGTGCTTAGAATATAACCATCTCATATTAACACAAATGCTGTTTACACTAATAAACTATATGCATGTTGTATTACCTGATTTACATAATGTAGTGACTCTAATTTGGTACAGTTCCACATACTAGAATTAGAATTTGAAATTATTTTGTGCATTTGCACAAACTCTGCTGTGAAAATTGATTCAAAGCAAGTGTAAGATATTGTGATAGAAAATCCATTGACATCGTTGACTATTTCATGTGGGGTGTGGATCTGCACTGGGTTTGCTTAGTTCTACACTTCCTTTAGGATCTAAACCCTCTATTTTTGTAATTATCTCCATTACTGAGGACTAGCAAGAGAGAAAGATAATTTCACTTGTTGCAATATGAATCTATTTACATTTTATGGCATTTCTAGAAAGTGAAACTGCTCCGGAATAACTGGAGTTATCTGTACCTGTTCTTGTTTAAATAAAAATAAATCCAAATTTTTTGATCTGATAACTTGCTTTCCTGCATTCTTTTGATGAGGGTAAACTGTAACAGGAACCAAATTTGCTGTGTTATTCACAGACTCAATAACACTCACCACAGAGACGGCATCAAATAACTTCCTGTTTTAGCAGGAACAGATGTGACAGTTTGATTATTTTTAGCTTCATATAGACTTTCAGTCTTAGAAATTAGTCTAATTGCAAAGAAAAGGGATAGGGATCTCATACCATTATAGAAACATTGTATATTGGATTGATTTAAGTAACAGTGGGGGGCAACTTTGTAAATTCTACCAACCAAAATAGACTAGAAAGTACATTTAGCTTCTAAAATAATCGCACAGTATAGTATGTATGCAACATGGACATGACAACAGTATTAACCCCCAAATTTCTGCATTTTCTAAATGCCATTTTTCAACTATGCTAAGCTACACTTGTAAATGTCTCAGTGCCTCCTGCCTGAGAAACAAAAACCTCAGGGAAGGCCTGATCACGACAACTTCTGAAAAAAGTAAGTAAACTCATGGAAGATATCAAAAGAAAATATAATTTACAACCATTACCGTTCCAGATTTACTAACATTTAAGGACATCTATACTAACTAGTATTTCATACTTGATTGAAAGTGGGGTGTAAAGCTTAACTTCCAAATGACACTGACATCTTTACAGAATTACAGTATGTTGCCATACTGACCAATCTCAGTAGTGCCTCAGATTGGTAGTTGATCATTTGCCTCATTAAGCAGACTGAATAGGCTGAAAAAAGGAAGCTTACACTATGCATATTTATCGATATGGATGTTACTTGGACAATATTTCACAACTGCTGAGACGCTGTAAAATATATTTCATCACCTTTGAGACAGGTGTTTTTCTGTCTTTGTTTATAACGTGATGTCTGTCTCTCTTTCCTCAGGATGACAGTATACTTAAGGAGATTGACATCAGCCACCATGTTAAGGAGGGTTGTGAGAAAGCAGACCCCTCTCAGTTCCAACTGCTTAAAGTACTGGGACAGGGCTCCTATGGAAAGGTACATGATACACATTTTAACCATAACCTCTGAGACCTGAATAGTTCAAACCACAACTCATATAACGGGAATTTGAGAGAAAGCAGGTTCTCTCAAATCCATTGGCTCAGAATACTGAGACAGGAAGAGAAAGACAGGAGATCAGTGTTGACACCACCAGCCAAAAGATAATCCCTCACAGTACGTCCACCCTAGGCGGACTACTACAGCTCACCCAGTAGGTGATTACTCACCTTAGGTGGCTTCAGCTGTACTACACATTTATAGCATTAACACCACTTGGATTGAGTGTAAAAATGTGACTACAACAGTTCGGGGGGGGTTAGGGTCAGGGCTCTGTTTGGGACAGTCAGATTTGGTAGATTATTTCTAGAGGAGCAGAATGTCAACTCATGCCACCGGTCAGTACGTTTATTTAAATCAGTGAAGGCCTGCTGAATTGTCAGTGTCACTGTAGATTAGAGGTCTGCACTGGGCACACAGGAAACCACAGCAGATGTTAGCCACAGGCAGGCACGTGAGGTCACAGCTGGCCTGGTTAGCAT